ACTTCTTAGATTCGGATACAACCCCTTTGTATCCAAGAAGCTTTGACACGATCTTGAGTATATGCATATACAAAGCAGGTATCCAAATCAAACATTTAGTGATACTAAATCATAAAGAAATTTATATTAAAACAACTCTCTGTATGTATAAAATATTACTATTTATTAAAGACAAAAATCATACTTATCAAAATATTTTTGATTTTTGATTTGATTGAGGTAGCTATGCTTATTTATTTATTTATTTATTTATTTATTTATTTATTTATTTGGTTTTTCAAGACAGGGTTTCTCTGTGTAGCTTTGGAGCCTGTCCTGAAACTCACTCTGTAGCTCAGGCTGGCCTCAAACTCACAGAGATTCATCTGCCACTGCCTTCTGAGCACTGGGATTAAAGGCGTGCGCCACCACTGCCCGGCTGCTTATTTATCTTTACATAAAGAAATCTCTTGGGCCGGACAGAAGGCTCAGTGGGTAAAGGCACTTGCCCGCAAGCCTCATGACCCAAGTTCTAGCCTGAGATCCCACAATTAGTAGGAGAGAACTGACTCCTGAGAGTTGTCCTCTGACCTTCACCTTTGTGTGCATTCTCTCTCTCTCTCTCTCTCTCTCTCTCTCTCTCTCTCTCTCTCTCTTTCTCTCTCTCTCCCTCCCTCCCTCCCTCCCTCTAAAATATAAAAATATTTTTTAAAGAAATCTTGTCTAAATATTTGGTAGTAGAGGAATTAAAACATTGTCAACATTTTCAGAGGTGATCAATATTTCCATTTCTATTTGTCAATGCTGAGAGTTCCAGTTCACATAAATATGTAGGGCAAAATGACACAAGCGTGTGTAGGGCCATTTCAGAAATTGTTCCATAGTCTGTCCTAGTCCCAAACCAAAATTAAACACATTTTATGAAACCTGGGTCAGCAACTCCAACAGCAGTCTTTAAAAGCAAATGTTCTGACACATGGAACCCAAATGTAGACTAATGTGACACACGCCAAGGACTGATGGTAGGAAATACTGAAAGTCCACTTTCCAGAATTAACACATCTCCTTTCCATGAGAGCAGACAGCTTTGTGGGCAGAGTAAAAGCAGCACGACTCATAGCCTGTAGTCTCCAATCAGAGCCGTGGTGCTTCAGCTGGTGTTTGTTGGCAGGGTGTGGTGTGGGGGCACGTACAATGGCAAGTGCACATGCCTGTTGAGAACGAAGGCACAGTGCAACACAAGTAGGAACTGTCAGAATTAACGATTCTTAATATGCTTCATAATTTGATTAATACGATTCTTACTTTGCCTTTCAAGCATGTGGAGGCCCTGGGTTCAATAAAATAAACAAATAATTTAAAAAGTAGAGTCTATGACCCACAGGGAATTCTAGTTTGTTAGCTCCCTCTATATCTCAGTGTACAAGCTAGTTTTGGTCATTGTGCATTAGGAACCTGTTACTATTGCTGCCTTTGATTCTAAGACCCCAGAGGAGATTGCAGCCCACAATGTAAGATGCTAACCTTTCAGCAACATCTACCTCTTGTCCTATGGTAGACCCTGAATCTATAGCCATGCACTTTCCCTGTGCTTCCACAGGGAGAAGTCTACTCCTCGAATTCTGTGAGGTCAGAGACTGAGGATTAAATGTCCTTTTTTCTTTCACAAGGAGCAGAGACAAGCTGCACGGTCAAAGTGAATGCTTTCTAAACTGAGTTCACTATGTCTCAAACTGAAAGACAGTGTTGGCCACTCCCCTGCTTTGTTTCATCTTGTTTAATCAATCTGTGGTCATCTGCGGGCCACAAGAGCTGAGTAATCGAAGGAGGAGACAATGGGGCTTCGCACTGTGTCTTGGCTAACAGAATGAGTTTGGGTAGCTGAGACTCTCCAAAATGGAGCAGGGGCATGCTAACACTCGGGTGCCAGGTTCAGCTACCCAAGTATATGACTAACTATATAACTAGCAAAATCCTTAGGAGTGTAATAGAACAGTCCTTAACCTTGAGGTATCAATGAAGCTTACAAGCTAGAATTCCCAATGGGTCACAGACTCTATTTTTAAAGTTTTCTTATTTTATTGAGCCCTGGCCTTCAAATGTTTGAAGGGCAATCTTCCTACCACTGAGCTGTAGCCACAGCATTTTTTGAATTTATTATTTCAAAATACGCTTTCACTAAGTTGCCTGGGTTAGCCTTGAACTTGCTTGGTAGCCCCATTAGCTTTTGTACTTGAGAGCCTCCACAGTAGCTAGGATTATAGGCCTGTACCCCCCACCTCCACTCAAGCATCTTCTATTTAGTGTGTGTGTGTGTGTGTGTGTGTGTGTGTGTGTGTGTGTGTGTGTGTGTGATGGGATGCCTGCATGCCAAATCACAAATGATGCATTCAGAGGT